GTCTTCAAACATAGATCTTCACGTCTAGTCTCCAATTTGGTGATACTGTACTATAAACCTATATACTATATACACAAGGTGTAGTTTACTATTTGTGAATTTTCTCAGTTGTGTTATCAGTCAGTAATTTTAATACCTTTTAATTAAATACAGTGAATAAGCATATTCTACTGCACCAGTCATTTGAATCCCTGCACCTTTGGCATACCACACAAGGGGAATAAATGCAAGGACAATCGCTTCTTATCCACTGGTGTTTCATGAAGGTGTACTGTTCTATAAACCTGTATACTATATGCACAAGGTGTGCATATTTCATTTATGGTGAATTTTCTCAGTTTTTTGTTGTTGTTGTTGTTGTTTTTTATTAACTTTACAATCATATTATATAAAAAATACACATACAGCTATGATTGAAGAATTGGACAACAGAACTAGAATAACATACAATGTTCATCCATCTAACACTAAAACACGACACATTACGGATTACAAACTGGATAACGTAAATACTGAATAATTGTATTATCAGCTGTGAGTAATTGTAATAGCTCTTAATTAAATACAGTGAATAAGCATATTCAATTGCACCAGTCAGTTGAATCCCTGCATCTTTGACATACCACAGGGGAATTAATGCCAGGACAATCGCCTCTTACTCACTGGTTTTTCATTTCCTGGCAAACAGGGAAGTCGAAGACACTTACTTTCAGTGACCAAGTCAGGAATGAGCGAGGTCATGGTGGGGGATTCACTTATTGTTTTACCTGCTGTATAAAAATATGATGAGATAAAGCAGTCGGCTAGGAAAGACTTTACAGAACAGTAAAGGAATGGTTTGGGAAATTTCAAGTAAAAATTCCAATTGAATACATGGGGATGACCGGACCGGATAAATTTACCTTGCCATTTTGTCTCTGTTGCAGGGGCCTTCACTGAATTTCACACACCAAATAAGTGAATGCCCCTGGTATGCTTGAAGAGGGGGTTTCAAATTCTTGTGCCATATTGGATGAGACTGTATTGTGTGAAGATCGTGAATTTACACAATTCCCTGTGAACAATAAAATACTCATTCTGTTGACTTATTGCAAATCTTGTAAGAATTGAAATAAATAATTACTATCATTATTGACAAAACTGAAAATTTGTATATGTATATGCAGGGGCGGATCCAGGGGGTAGCAAGCGTGGCTCGAGACACGTTCAGATTTTTGAGATCGTCATATTCTCTACATTGGTCTATAAGGATGGAAGCGATCGTTATTTATACGTATAAGCGTCCCAAACATTACAACTTCAAACAGATATATACTCCTGGTCCAGCGTTACGAATTACTGGTTTTTTTTCAAACAAAATCGCGAAATAAAAACGTAAATATCTCAAAAGATGTAATTCCTGTGCTGTAAAAGTTTCAAAACATTGGGAAAACCCACTGGGAAAACCCCGCACTTGCTGGATATTAAATGTTTGCCACGACGATAACCGAGAACTACTCGAAGTTGATCATTTTAAGTTCGGAAAATGTTCGTCAAATGCGACTGCGATTTTAAGACACGGCCCGCGGTTCTGCTGTTACAAAATAGAGTAACTTCTTGACACGGTGGAGCGTGTCAAGCCAATCACAGGTCGAGATTTTGTCACGTGAGACACGGTGCGACAAGGTGGCCATGTTTTTGTTGCGCAATATTATGGAAATGGTTAAATCGGGAACGTAGTCCGGAAACTTCTCACTATGCATTGTTCGTGCATGCCTTCTAGTACGAAACTTAGTGAATTTTTTTGGCGCTAAGACGTTAAGTTTCAAGCGGAACTGTTGAATCAACATTGTGGTCGGGAAGACAGCAAGCGAAGTTGGAATAGAAAACATATACGAACGTCTAGAAAGATAGACCTGCGCTTATGCTTTAATACCTGCAAGGTGGAACTGAATCTGACTTCTAATATTTATAACTTGTATCTGTATGCAAAGTGTGTATGCAAATTTATTGTGATCGAATATATTACAGCGAAATATTAGCTGAGCACCGAAATATTAGCTGAGCACATGTCATCATGATTCATGAACAATGTTTTATTTATCCAGTCGATTCACTAGTATATATTAATTTAATTTCTTTGTGATAAAGTTACAATGTGAAATAATATTACATGTAACTGCATGTCTGGTTGGTATATTTTTGAATTAAAGACTCGTATTGTCAACGACAATACCGTTTGGTTGACATGTATGCATTAGTTATATGGCGCCTATACCATTACCGGCAATGCAATATTTACAAATTCAATGTTAATTTATTTGTAAATATTTTGGTGATATTAATAATATGCAGTATGGTGGCATGTTTAACTTATATATTGAATATCCTATAAATTATTGTGTCAAAAATTGCTGGATAAAATTAGGATGTGTTTATATGGAGGTGAGCCATCTTCACATTGAGACGTGTTTTGAGATGATCTTAATTCAGGTTCTCAGCCAGAAAATATTTTTCCGCAAATATTTCTCCTGCTGAGGGGGAGACCACTGGGTGAGTAACATGCAAAACACATGGAAACATATACTTGTGAAAACCAATTGTATGCAAGCCCACTCATTTGAATCTGTCAGGATGAGAAATTCGTCAACAAAATCACTAACTGTGAATCAGGCTTTAGGCAGGTTGTCAAGCAAAAAGCCCTATTATGGAGCAATATAACCTTGAGCCTTTAAACACTTGAAAGCAAGTTGCAAACACACTTTTACAGTTATGAGCACTTAACGGGGAAATATCATCTGAGACTACAGATTACTGATATAAATATTCTTATTATCAGTGCATACAAGGGGGCCAATTAGCCCCTCCCCCAAATAATTCCTGAAAGTCTTTAAATGGTGATTGAATAACTATGTGTGTAACAAAGCTGTAAAAATGTTTTTTTTCTATTTTGACATCTGATTGAAAGCTATAAATTGGTACCGTAGGCTATATATATATATATATATATACATATAAGTTTAACTCATTGAGTTGCAGTGTGCTCTAATTAGACGTGGTCCTGCGGGCCGCAATATGAAAAGTTGAATCTGATAGTTTGTTAGTAATTGATTTTTTCTATGTACGTATATAGTGTATTTGTGTAACATTTAGGGATCGCAGTAATTGGCGCAACGTGTTGCGATTGCCCTACCAGTTTTTGTGTTAACGTTAATTGTTTGAATCTGGTAAAGTTAATAAATTAAATTAAATTAAATTAAATTAATGAGGCCTAAAGTGCCATACTTTATTATTTTACTCTGTCTAGCACCAGATGATTTTACTTGTCAAGGGGAGAGTGCTGGCTCTCAATAGGTTAAAGAATTAAGATTTCTGTCAACTGGGTGGTAATATGGGTAGTCACCACATCAACCCAGGCTTTTGCCTAGGGTGTCCAGGCGTCCTGGGACGCCCATAGAACAAAAAATGGACGCCTTTGGACACCCAAATTCTGGGGGAAAAGGGAAATTATTTGCAATGATTTCCCTAAGTATATTAATATATCTGAAACAAAATAGCTTCAATTCTCATTATTATTATACATTTGACATTTTGATCAATTTGATGGAGTACCTGGCTGAATGAAAATGTCATTGTTAAGTAAAGAAGCATAGCAGCACAAATTCAGTACTCACAAAGCCAAGTGTGTTTGAAAAATTTCGAACGAGCTTGGAACAGATACTGATATGAAGTAACATAAACTTCTCGAACCCCCCCCCCTTACTGAAGATGTATCGTACCAAATGGGACGCCCTCTTTTAGGATCCTGGCTAAAAGCCTGCATCTCCCCCATTGTCTTATATAGCTGTTACTCAAATGAACCATGTGAAGATTGGGCATGCAAGCAAATATACACGATAGTTCACTCAATTACTGTAATACGTCACAATACACACCAAAATACCACATTCTGTGCTACATTACTTTGTCTAGTTCTTGGGTAACTTTAGTCATCATTGGAAAGATGTTGCACAATACTGTAATCGGTTAACATAGATTTTTTAACTGTGTTGTAAAGAAAAGTGAATTAATTCAAGTAACAATATGCGAATTAGGTAAATGCATTATTTATTTAAGCATGCATGAAAGGCATTGGTGCCAAAAAATGAAAGTTTCAGCGCCTATTTGAAGGACTTAAAATTGAGCAAATTTTCTGATATTTGGATCATTTAATAAAACACGTAACAAATTTCTCGTCCATGAACTCAAAATGCATTTTAACCTTTAGAATTTCACAAGCAAGCCATTTTGTAATGCTGCTAAAAAGACGTCCCCTGCTTTGGAAAATTAATCTTTACGAAAATTTCTTGATTATTCTACATTATAAGTACCCAAACATTCTATATTTATCAAATATTTAATGACATCGGATTTATGAAATTGAGAGCCGTTTCAAAATTGTCTACTTTTTTATGATACACCCTGTACTGAGTTGCATGAACATGCTCCATACTATGCCGGTCATCCCGTAGTTAATTCGTAGGATGAGAATGGAGCGTTCACTTGGCTTAAAATTGCCTTTGCAAAGTGCTTGTCTGATACTGCCATGTCAGTTTTCGAAAATATGATCATACAGCAGCAGTTAGCCTACTGAAGAGGCAATGCATAATGCGCATAATTACGAATTCTTGATGTTTCCTTTAGCGACGGTAATTGGCTTACAAGTCAATCTTACTATCCAACTCAAACTGTTGATGTTTAATATCACAACCACCAAAACTCCAAAAGCAAATGCTTCACCGTCCATATGAACAAAGCTGCAGTGTATTGCAATTGGAATAAAACGAAACTTTGTTTTTCGTTACTTTTGTCTAAAATGTTTATTTGTTGAGGACCGAAATTTGAGGAGGAAATACGCCGTTCAGAACGCAGGAAATGGCGTTTCCTATGTGATGAGCAGGTAGTCTCTCTTCTTACAAGGTCAAGCTTTTCTTTCTTTTGCTGATATGTTCTTCTGGCTCTCTTTTATCGGGCTGCGATTGTTACCTTTGCACAGCAATACCAGCAGCGATATGTGTTTGACCCTTTCCACTCTTTGTTTCTTCGTTGTAGTCTTGATTGTCAAAAACCAAGACTGTGTGCTGATTCTTAACCATATCGCTTGTAACGAATGATTGGTTGTTGGACTGAATGGTTGCCAAAGCTGTCTCATGGCGTATTACTGTGTCATATGATGCGCAGTGGCCCAAATAATTAAAGACATTTATGACTTCGGCAGATCCCGTCAATTCCCTAATCAAGATTCCAAGTGACAATGACTTTGGAGTTTGTTTTTGTCCTTTCGTTGACAAATAGACTAAATCCTGGGCAATTGAATCAATTTTACATTCATAACTCTCACCAACTGAACCTCTCAAAGATTCGGAGGATGGTTCGTCCGACAGACCAAGTACCCAGCAGAGGAAATTAAACAGTTCAGATGGAACAGTTTGTATAATTGCTTCTTTGTTAAAATCATCTGCAGTCGGAGGCCAACGAGTATGGAAGACAGGAACATCCTTGATGATATTCTTTAAAATAAAAGCTGCTCTGTACAATTTCACATGGTTACTTTCTTCAACATAACGCGTAGAAGTGCTAGCACAGTACCTCTCCTCTTCGGCATCTGAACACCCTTCACCATCAGAGCTCTCTTCCTCAGACATTATTAAATGCTCTGCCAGTGAACCTGCAGAAAGGTTCTCAGCAAAAACTAGCGTACTTCTGTTTCTTCTCCCAGGAGCATGGGAAACAAGCTGTGGATGGCTCTTCTGAAGACGTTTCTTCAGGTTACCGGCCTTGTACCTCGAGCCTTCTTCACCCTCTCGATCTCGAGCTCCGAAAAATATTAACCAACTTCGTCAGAAAGAAAATCTCACAATTCTTGCATGTTCGGTCATCAATGATTTCCTTGCAGAATAATTTGTATGCTGTGTTAAAGACGGAATCCATTGCTTGATCAACGTCTGGCTTAGAAAGAAAACGAGTATAGTTCTTGTAGCACGTCTTATGATAGCACACTTCAATCGCAACACAGTCCTTATCTTTGATATGAATTAGAATATTCTCATCGTTTTTCATCTCTGCTGCTTCCCGCAATTTCCCAGCATCAATTGTTTCGCATTGTGTTAATCCTTGAAGTATTCGCTTTCCCGATTTCTGCAAGAAAGAACCCCGTGAATATTGACTGGCAGCCCGTCAGGTTTCAGAAAGTGCTAAATACCGGCAGTCCAGTCCCTACATCCTAAACCTAAACCTAACCAAGCAAATTTTTGAAAACTTTGATTAGAATTCTGCGAAAACATATTAATTTTTAAGAAAAAATAAAAAAAGAATTTGTATTAAAGCGAGAAAACCCCCCAAAAAAGTCCAAATATAATATAATTAAAATTTCTGCGTTTAGCTGCTTACTTTATCGTTATAGAAAAGTTCTTTCTTTTTGCATATGATGCATAGTTTGGGCAAAATTCCAACAGTTCTACCTCTAGATGAAGAATCAGAGCTTTTTTCTCGACGCTTTGACTTTCGTGGTGGTTCAACCGTCGCGGCTGCATTTTCAATTTCTCTTTGACTTGGTTCATTTAGATTTTTCCTCGCAAGGCGTTTTTCAGCTAGTTCTATTAGTCGCTTATTCGTAAAACTCTGATAGCATTTACGATGGTAAAACCTGCTTGTTGGCAGTGTTTCCACGCTACCTTCTATGATCTGCTCATCGTCACCACTCAAAAAGGCGAAACTTTGCTCGCTTATACTTCTTGCCTCGCCATCTAAAACTGACCAACGTTTTCTACATTCTATAATTTTACACAATGATGCTTTTGTTGCCGCTATTAATATTTCATCGATTTCAGAAACCGTAGAAAAATGAATAAAACATTTGCTTTCAGACATTGTAATTTGAGTATTTCGTGACGTTTCACGTTGTTTTTATCACGTATCTTATTGACCAATGGAAAAACATATAGAACTTTGTGGCAGTGCTTCCACTCTAGAAAAAATTTCCTTCCCAAGCGCCAACTGCTCAAAATGTCATTATTTTTGTCAAAATTTCCTTGCACTAAAGTTGATGAATTAGTTTAAAACTGATATTACAATAATTTATCCAGAATAAGGTGTCTTTCTAGTGCCAGAAGGATCACGGACGTTGCAGGGGAGGAATCAGGGCCGCCGAGAGTTTGGCGGGGGCCCGAGGCAAATTTTTTTTAGCGGCTCCTATTTCAAATTTTTTCCGGAAAAGAACCTTCCACCCCCCCCCCCCCCCCCCCC